AACCCTGAGCTGAATTCTCCCCTACCCCCAGTTCTTGTAAGTAATCCAGTCCTTGTAAATCATTTGTCCTTCCTTGTAAGACCACAGGAGAACAAAAGCAGGTTTTGCAAAGCCCCTATCTGTTGTCTCTAACTGCTCATTCTGGCTTCTGTAAACTTGCTTATCACTGTGTCCCAAAGGAAAGGAGATCTCTAACTCCTTGCAGCTGTGGGCTCCACAGAGCGATGTCTCCACTCAGTCACTGTAATTGTTTTCCTTGTGCCCTGCTGTGTTTGTTCAAAAACTTGGGAAATGTCGTGTGTGCCTGATTCTTTAAACAATGTATCGAAACTGTGACCCCCCAAAACCCCTCAACCATGGACCCTGCAATTGTGTAACTGTCATGAGATGATTAACCACTGCCTGCCTCGAGTAATTAATACCCCCACTTTTTTTTTTGCTTTAAAAGGTAGCCTCCCCACTCCCTCAGGGCTGCAGTACTTATTCCCGAGTTGAGGACTGTAGTCCAAACTAGCTTGAATAAAACTTTGAATTAAAATCTGACCCAGTGTCTAGTGGTCTTTTCCTGGTGGTCCCGACCTCTGTAACAGGAGCACTCAATGGAAGTTGGTGGCTGCCTGACAAAAACTAACCTTTTGAAAAGCAAATTATATTCCTAGTAGTGATAATGGAATTAAATTGAATGCTGCTTCTAATAAACCAGTTGGGTTCAGGCTTGCGTATTTGTTCCCTATGTGTTTATGATGGGAGACAGTATTCAAATCCTACCCAATGCCACTATGTAGTTATATCACATTGAATACATAAATTGTTACATCATTATGTTAACCAGATAATAAAAAGCTATTATAATCATGTATCAACCTACTGCAATTTGGATACTTATAAATCTTACTAAACAATGGGAACAAATCCCTACCTCACAGATTCTGCATTCTATATTTTTACTACTATTAGAATAATTAAACCTATCACCACACCAGCCATGGTCCTGTCCCAAGTAGATCAGCCTTATA